TGAGAACAAGCTTTCTTATCAATTTGAGTTATGTTTCTCTCCTACTTGCAACAGAATCAAGACCACACAGCCTTACATGCTGAACCAAACTGCTGACAGTCTGGACTTGCTTTCTGATTTACATTAGTCTGAGTTCTATAAATAAAAATTTCAACACCCGAAGAACTATAAATTTTTATTTATAATTGGAAACATAAAAATAAGTCATAGTAGCAATCGAAGTTTTAGAAAGTATCAGCTATTAAATACTGAAATGGCCTTGCATATGTCTGCAATGACAGTATTTATTGTGGCATTTTAATGTAATAGTACCTTTAAGTTTTTGTAAGTTCTAAATGTTCTTTTCTCATTCAATCATATTTCTTAATTTCCTTATTCATTTAACATCTCTTAAGGACCCTGTCTTCTGCCCTCACCATCAGCCCCCAGACATACTCTCTCACCTTGAGATCTGTGTACTGCCTGCTACCTCCTGATGGGGGCGCTCTGCTTCTTTTGTTGCCTGTGGCTTCTTCTGGCTGCACGTTCAATCAATTCCTCAACCCATTTTCGATCATGGCTTCAACTTTTTCCCAGTATAAACTATTTTTAGTGGCAAAATTTTAACCAAATCTTTCTAGAAATAATTCCCAACAAACCCTCACGGGCAAGAAAACATCATAGAAGCAGAGATGTTAATCTTCACATATAATTGACTAAAGGAAAGTACACGTTTCCTTGAGGGGTGTAGGGTAAATGAGGTAGGTAATCAGATGTGTTACGCACTAGCTTCTGTGGCTATCATCTGTGACCTTGATGGAGTTAATGCAGAAGGCACATGGGTTTGGGGCAAGCATGCCTGGTGGTGGACACCTGGGGCACACGTGCGTGCATGTACAAGGTACACACCTGTGCCTAGGAGGGAGGGGCTATAAGGCGGTGCCACCCTGGGGCAGGGAGCTGAAAGGTGCTGTCTCCCTGCTGGCTTGTTCCATGCTTACCATTAAAACCTGTGACAATCACGCCAAGAGCTCCAAAGTTCTCGTTTAAGCTGTTAGAACTGACAACAGTGCACCTACCCCACCTGGCTGGGATGGTTGCAAAACAAGTGGGTTTTATGTGAAATAACTCAGGTTTGCTACATAGGATTTGCTGTCTTAAGAACAATTTCCAAAGTTCATAAAAATAAGCTCAAGTGTCTTGAGAACTAGTTACAATACCATTAAAATATCTTACTCACATATACTTTTTCTTTTCTATTAATGTCTTAAAATATTTTGTTCATGCACAGATTTTCTTGTTTTCATTTCAATTCATCCATTAAACTGGGCGAATGCAGGTCCAGTCAGGGAGGTGTCCTAGCTACATCTGACGCTCATGTCACACCACCAATATCTTCTCAAAGCAGTGGTCGGTGGGCTTTCTTAGCTGCATAATTCTCATTTCTCTGAAAGTGCTTTGTCAGTTAAGCCTTCCAAGTAACTCAAAAGTAATGCTTTCCCATCTGCATGGGCGTAAAGAAAGCAAACAAAAGCATGTTTAACAATAAGGTCAGCGTGACATAAAGCAACAAGAGCCAGTAACTGAGAAGGAGGTTGACATTCTGGGATGAGTCCAGGGATGCTCTAGGAGTGTCCCCACTGCACAGCTGCTGGAGGCTTCAGACACGCCTGGCCCCGCTTCTGGCTGTGCCCCCAGCTCTGCTGTGGAATGTGGACAGCTGCGGGGGGGGGGGGCCCTCCACACACACACACACACACACACCCACCCTCTGTGTTCTCTGCTTTGCTTTGGGGTATTCCGAGGATGTCTGTGCTCACTGCTGCTGGTAGGAGCTGCTGCTACTAACTGGTCAGAACTGTCCTTAAGATGTTTCTGTCTTCTCCAGTGACTGGGAGGATACATTGTAAAAGGAAAACTGCTCTTGGTTTCTTATTTTCAAAATGTTAAGCCCATGTTGTTTGGGGCTTAATTCCCGAGACTGGCCTGAAGGTCCACTTCCCCCTGAGCATCAGTAATGAGGTGGTTCAACCTGAGTGCAACAGTCCATGTCCCGGTCCCCCTGTGGGCTCATCACCCGTGTCAAGCAACCCAGGTTAGATGGCATTTTGTAATATGGGCCAGGGAGTCGTTTTGCTGTGCTGTGGTCAATTTTTGGATTTGGTAAGAAGCAGGGAGTAACAGCACCTTCAATACATAGAGATGTCAGGTAGAGGAAAACCATCATTTTCAGCAAATCGCAAGCAAGGAACACAGTGAAATCCAAGCAGTATTCTTTGCATTAAAAGCATTCCATGACTTGGTATTGTGACGATAAACAATTAGGACTTGGCAAGCTTCTGCTAGATTATCTGCCTATGTATTGCCTGTAACAGTCAAGAGATGTGAAAATTCCCCATGTCTTATGTCTATTTAAAACACATGCATTGAAAGGGAAAGTTAAGTCCTTTGGGGTGGCAGCTTGTCCATTTCACTTTTTCTTAGTAGTTGACTTCTTGAAACAAATGAGAAATATTTTTAAAACGTAAGAAAAAAAAATTTCGACTTTTGTGTGCTTCTATACAAAATGCTCTCGAGAGCCCAAAGATGTGTAAAGGGTTAGTGTTGCAGGAAATGGCTCGGGTATTCACAGTGGAAATGAAATTTTTAATAGCTACCTCACCCAAGCCACGTGGGGTGGACAGGTCAAGGCAGACACGGAGTTCTAGTGGGCATTTTGTCTCGGGATCTTCTGCAGCATGAGAATGTTATTTTGGGGGTTGAGTTCATCATGATTCCATTGGCCCCACTGTTCCCTTTTGTGGAAGTTTTACCTGAATAAAAATGTTCTCAGCATGTAATATATATATAATATATATGCCTATGTATATTATGTATACACCTATATATGTATATATAATATATTCCAAATATATATGTAAATATATATATTTTTGGAAGGGCTATGTTCTCATTAAGTTCTCTATACTTAAGGGAAATAGTAAGTCCCATTCGGTCCCATTAAGAAAATAGCATAATGGGCCTCCCCGGTGGCGCAGCGGTTGAGCGCTGGGTTGCGAAGCTGCCCGCGGCCTCGGCGGCGCCGGTTCGATCCCCGGCTGCTCCCCGGCCACCGGAGGAGGATCCCACATGGTGCGCAGATCTCTCCTGCCACCCGCTGCTCCCCTCAGCAGTGTACTTCAGTCCTTCTGCCTGCTCTGCTCCCCACTCTGGCTCTGGTGAATTCTCTCACCTCCCCGCGCTTCTGACTGTACCCAGTGCATGTATAAACAAAAAAAAAAAAAAAAAACAAACAAACAAATAAAAAAAAAAAAGAAAATAGCATAATATATTTATAATTAAAAGATGATAAGCTCTTTAGACTTTTGATGAAACAAGCCCAAGACTCAAAAGACTGTCTTTCCAGGGGAAACAAATGAATGGAATTCTTGCAGTTCCAATTTCCAATCAAATCCATCATATATTCAAATATACACAGAGAAAGCATTAAAGTAAATACATTTTGTAGATTCCATGGGTTAACTATAGAGTATTCTGTATTAATCTCAGAAAACCATAGCCAGAATGATGGCTTCATGAAAACATAATAACAACAGTTACTATTTCTGAACACTTGTATGTTTTTTGAAAAATTCCATTTCTATTTTTATTATTTTTTTATTTTGTATATTTCTTACATAATTTTTCATAAAAATTCCATGTCTATTAATCACAAAGCAATTTGGCAAATGCTGGTTTAATCCAAGATATTAAATAACTTGTTCAAGGTCATCCAACTGGTAAGTGGCAGAGGTCATTGACAAGCCTAGGCCAGCCCTCTGCATAGCAGCCACTATCAACTCTCACCGTAGCTGTCACAACTCAGCAGTCACAGGCTGACATTCTTGGTTACTTGAAATTCGTTGTCTTTGCAGAAAATATATTGCCTAGCATATTTGCATATTATCTGTGTAGCAATAGATGCTTTTAATGTTGAATATGAAAAATAATATCACTGCCTAATTAAACAGTGCAATGTTTTTAATGAAAACACAAGAAATTTTGTGATACAGCAACTGATATTGATGGTGTAATTGCTTCAGATGGAAATGACTTGTCCAACCTTTCTGGGAGCTATAGAACCTTCAAGAATTTCCTGTTCTATAACCTGTCTTCTCATGATCGAAGCTTACTTTCGAGCTACCAGAAAGAACACTATCTTGGGCCTCCCCAGTGGCGCAGCGGTTGAGCGCTGGGTTGCAAAGCTGCCCGCTGCCTCTGCAGCACCGGTTCGATCCCCAGCTGCTACCCCGCCACCAGAGGAGGGTCCCACATGGCGCGCAGACCTCTCCTGCCGCCCGCTGCTCCCCTCAGCAGTGTACTTCGGTCCTTCTGCCTGCTCTGCTCCCCGCTCTGGCTCTGGTGAATCCTCTCACCCTCCCGCGCTTCTGCCTGTACCCAGTGCATGTATAAACAAAACAAACAAACAAACAAATAAATAAATAAATATGACTCCATAAAAAATAAATAAATAAATAAATCTTTTAAAAAAAAAAGAAAGAACACTATCTTTACAAAATAAAGATAATGGTGAGGATGACTAATAGAAATGGAGACATATATATAGCATAGGAAACTCTGCTGTACGCTGCATGCTCAGATAATTTTTATAATGGTACGAATTCCACAAAAGGGAACAATGGATCCTGAAATCATAATGAACTCGACACCAAAAATAAAATTAATAGGCAGGGATTTGTGGAGAAAAAGAGAGATTAGATATTTTCCATTTGATGATGTCAAGATCTTTTCCAAAAGCTTTTGTTCTTTTTTTTTTAAACTAACCCTGAACTATTAAATTGTTGTATTTACAGATCTACATTGTGAATCAAGATAAACATGAAGAATATCAAATATTCTTATGAGGTTGCAAAACCACCGCTACAACAAATACAATCTGTCGGCCACCATATTCTGTTGCCTGGTAGTTGGGCAAAATAAAGAAATTTAGAAATGTTAGAAATTGAATCTGTACTGGTGGGAAAGGATTTGTGTCATCAAAATATGGTCTTCATTCAAAGTAACAAGAATCGGATAATAAAAAGATGATGTCATTACCATCCTCTGGGTTCAGTCCTTGACTGTGAAAGGCTAATGACATGGTTTTATTTTCTTGAGCACACCTACATTCACCGACTTGTGTCACATAACCCATTCTGAGAGAAACCATTTGTACAGCGATCGATTTAATAATTGTAAATGAGAAGAAATTCAAAATGCATTTATTGAAGTCACATTTGTAGGGGAAAAAGATAAAGCTTTTTTCAATAAACAAGTGTACATACAGATTAAACGCAAAGGAGTTACATGAATAAATGGAGTTAGTTGAGATTCATTTTACAGTTAGTATCTTTGTGCTGCGTTTATCTCAGAAGTGTTACATGAAATAACGCTTTGCATCTATCAAATCTAAATTGCATCTTCATTTGTGTGTTCAACAAATATTTGAGTGCTGGCTATTTTGTATTCACTGTGACCTATACCTACCACTCAATCGCGACTTTCTAGAGTCTATATTTCCTTCAGCTTCCACTTCTCATGATGCTAATCTCGTTAGCACATTTTCTTGTTCTCCTAACAGGCCCTCAATAAATATTTGTTGAATGAAATCAGAAATGAAATGAGGAAAATTTGAAGTTTAACATACAAAACAATTTACTGCTACTGAAATATAAGACACAATTACATTTGTAGACTTTTTCTTAGGGAGATAACATTCCACTTACTCATTTTTTTAAATTCAGAGCAAGGGACAGACATAAAGAATTGTTTTTACTCAATATAAAATGTACTTATTCTCTCCTCTATTATCGTCAGTACAAGGAGAGATCTCGCAAAGTAGGAAAAAAAGGAGGAAAATTTAAAGAGATGGAGCTGGGAGAGAGAAGGTTCAGACTTACAGACATGTGGTGATGGAGCCAATGACTGAGCTCCACGGGGTGACAGGAACAGCGAGAGCCCATCCCAGTCAACTCTGAGTCAAGAAATGCTCTTTTCGCATCTCCAAGTGGCTCCCAGACTCGTGGGAGAATCAGACTGTAACACAGTGCACTACTCTAACTCACACGTGCACACAATCGCTGGGGAACTTAGGAGGAAGCAAATCACTGTCTAAAGGAGGCAGAAAAGACATTAGAGAATGGATGTGTGGCTGAGGCTTGACGGTACAGAGAAGCCTGGCATTGGTGGGAACAAGATTTGCATGACTGGAATGCATGAACGTTTGACAATGGAGATTAGAGTAAACTTACAGAAATTCATGCCTGAACACCATTTCCAAGTACCTACTTGTGCCCACATCGGTAATAATGGGCCAGGGAAAGCCACATCTCAGAGGATAGAGCACTCTCTCTCTCCTTTTTAAAAAAGCTCACATGGAGATTCCAATGTACACACAGCTATATCTAAGAATCACTGCAACTGTTTACTGGAATGAGATAATATTTTAAAGTCAGGATATGGTAAAATTAGATCTTTTTAAGATCCCATTGGCCTGAAGAGCCCATTCTTCTTTCCCTCTGAAGAACTGAATACCAAGAGTCTATTGTAAAAATATATATTCACAGAAAAATATATGGACAGGGACATACTAAATAAGAGGCCATTTTTATATATTAATGCTAAGATACATGGAGTACTTGGATTAAAGTCCTATTGAATGCTACACCCAGTGTTATCAAATTTGTATATTGTTATTTTGCCACGTAGACCTAAGGAATACAAGTCAGGAGCCCTGGTTAGTATTGGCTTAAACCCTATTTCAAATGCCTTATGAGAATTTACTATTTATATGTATTCTAATTGTTCTTGCAGAATAAAGAAGTTGGATTTTGTCATGTTTTTTCAGCATTTTTGATCATGCTCCTGTGATTTTTTTTATTCTTTAGCATATTGATACAATGGATAACATTAACTGATTTTCAAATGTTCGAATGCCAACCATCATTGCATACTTGTAATAAATTCTACTTGGTTATAGTATATTAAAAAAAAAGAAGTCATTAGTAAGGAAGTTACAGTCATATTATGAAGCCAATTTTTTTTAAATGAGATAAAACCAAGTTTATCCTGTTTAGGGGAAACATGTTAATAATCAGTAAGATTATTCTGTTTTTATCCTTTCATAAATTGCAAGCATTTAACAGCTGAAGGGTGTGGATAATGAAAATGCAGTAAGAAATCAAAGACTTCAGTAAATGTTTTCTGTATGATTTCAAAGTTACTTTGATCTTCTCATTAACAACTATTAATTTGCATAATATGGTATGTTTATTTGTAAGACAATGTTCAATGTTAAGGAATTTTAGACAGGGAATTTGGTCTACTAGTTTCTCTGAGCTGTTAAAAATTACATATGTGTAATATAAAATATATGTGTGTGTGTTTCTGTGTGTGCTATGTATGCCTAAAACTGGCATAAATTTTATTTAGAAAACAACGAGCAATTTCAATTGAATTTTATCAGTGGTACAAACTTGGTTCTCTCTCTTATGTTCATATGTATCTACAAAAACATACAGATCTCCAGTGACTCACCTGAGTGAAAATTTCTTCTGATGGGTTATTTTCAGTTTATAAATCATGTGAATTGTGTTGACTATTGTAATTGGTTGTTTCTCTTGAGCTGCTATCTAGTAGTTCTTAAATTATCTCTTAGAATTAGATCAAAGGCACTCAAAAACTTTCAACCTGAGATTCACCTATTAAATTCCACTGAGTGGAGAAAGAGAATATTTCTCTTTTTTTCTCTTCCCTGCCTCTTTCCTGACTTCCCTTCCTGACTTCCTTCCTTCCTTTCTTCTTTAATGTGAGATGTTAATAAGAAGCTCTGAGCAGAAGGAACATTTTGCAGGAAAGACATTATTGCACCAAAGTGCCCTGTGCAACTGAGCATCTGTGAGGGGAGGTGACCTCCACCTGCCCCGGTGGGGGGAGTGGAGTTAGGGCACAGCCTCGCCTCACTTTCAATCCTGATGCAGAAAACCTTACCAGAGGACAACTCCTCAAAAGGGCAGCAAAAATCTCCAGTCCTCTTCATACTGCTGTTGTGATGACAGGGCTCTATACTTAATAACCTCTTTAAATGTTTGTGTTTCCAATCTGGGAAACAATCTTAACATAAAGGGTTTTTCCTAATCAGAAAAAATCAATTTATTTCAGGGATTTTAAAGTCTTAATATTTTTTGCATAAATATAGTCAAGGAGACAGAGGGGGCTACCTAGAAGGGACAGATACGCCAAGGTTTGTTTTTTTGTTTTTTATATTACGCGTAAGAGTCTTTCCTTCAGAGAAAGATTTGTTAGAGGCAAAAGTTAAAAATCTTCACTTAAATGGTATGAAATAATATGGATAAGATTAAATTTGCTTTGACAATCAATTCTAGTACCTTTTCAATCTTGCAAACTCTTAAAGAAAATATGGTACACAAAAACATTTTAAAATGCTGATTATGCTTTAAAAAAGAAAACCAAAACCTCACAATTTTCTCTGAAATTTACACAGTATGATATGTTATCAATGTAAGGCTTCAAGAAGAACATTGTAAAAATGCAAGACCTCATTATCCTGACCTAAACAAAAACACACCACAAAACTTATTTTGTTCTAAGATAAAAATAGCATTCACTTTTTATGAAAGAGAAGAGGTTTCACCATCCCTGCCAAGATCTTGGGTAACTGTGCAGCAATAACTTCGGACATCATTTCTGGAAATTCAACACTCAGTGACCGGGACTGGATGAATGTGTTCAGGCAGTACAGATGAAGCTGCTTGACAAGCTGTTGAACAAATGGATAAGCAACACATGAGAAGAGAATGAACTTGTATACTATGGAAACAAGGCAGTTAATTTTTTTCTTTTTTTATTTAAATATTTTATTTTATATAATTCTTACATCTTTTTTCATCTTTGCACAATGTATGCATTTTCATTTTGGTTATATTCCCCAAACAATTGCACCCCCCCCTATTCTGACACTAGTCCTTCCTTTCCTTGCCCCCGTCCCCGTAGTGTGTCTCTGGTTTATAGTTGCTTGTTGATTTTGATTTTTACTTTGTATTGATTAGTCTTTTTCCTGGTCTCTTATTTAGGTTTTCTAGATTCCTGCTATGAGTGAGACCATCCGGTATTTTTCTTTTCTTTCTGGCTTATTTCGCTGAGCATGATTCCTTCCAGCTCCATCCATGTTGCTGCAAATGGCATGAGTTTATCTTTTTGATTGCTGAGTAATATTCCATGGTGTATATGTACCACATCTTCTTGGTCCAGTCATCTATTTTTAGGCATTTGGGTTGTTTCCAAAGCTTAGCTATTGTAAATAGTGCTGCTATAAACATAGGGGTGCAGGTGCCCTTTGGAATTACTGTTTCTGTGTCCTTTGGGTAAATACCTAGGAGTGGAATTGCTGGATCCTATGGAAGCTCTATGTTTAGTAGGTCCAGAAATCTCCACACAGCTCTCCATAGTGGTTGAACCAGTTTGCACTCCCACCAGCAGTGCAGGAGAGTTCCTTTTTCTCCACACCCTCGCCAACATTGGTTGTTGCTAGTTTTTTAATATGTGCCATTCTCACTGGTGTGAGATGGTATCTCATGGTAGTTTTGATTTGCATTTCCCTGATTACAAGTGATGTTAAACATTTTTTCATATTCCTGTTGCCCATTTGCATTTCTTCTTCAGAGAAGTTTCTTTTTAGCTCTTCTGCCCATTTTTTGACTGGATTATTTTCTTTGTTTTTGTTGAGTCTCATCAGCTCTTTGTAGATTTTTGTGATCAGTCCTTTATCGTTAGTGTTGTGTGCAAAAATTTTCTCCCAGTCGGTGGGGTTTCTCTTTGTTTTGGTTACTGTCTCTTTTGCTGTGCAGAAGCTCTTTAATTTGATGTAGTCCCAGCTGTTTATCTTAAGGCAGTTAATTTTTTCTAACAATATTAAGGTCACCAAATGCTTTCCTATCAAGATGGAAATAACTCCCTTCAATCTCTAGAGTAAACTATATTCTCATGATACAGCACTCTGATACTCTGGGATGAGCTAAAGAAATGAAAGTAATTCATAATCCCACAGGATATTCAGTATGGACATTATGGGGGATGTCCTTCAAGTCCGTCTTCCTTGTCACATATGTATAGAGACATACCCCGGTATACACACCAGGTAAACATATATACCTTTCCAAAAACTTTTGAACATAGTAGTAATAAAAGCTTGTGTTCAATGTCTTCTTGAGTTACAAAGTCTATTTGTGAGCCTGGCATTTTCATATAACAATATATTGGACTTGTCCCATGTCAATGCAAACAACATGACATAACTCATTTTAGTGTAATTTTAATTTTTGTCAATGTAATGGACATACAATATTTTAAATTTGAGGTAAGCTCTATGAGACCTTGCAGATATGAACACTTTTGTGATGTCATCAGACTCGCTTGATAGTCTGGCTGGATATAAAATTCTTGGAGGTTCTCCTTTCCTTCACAATTCTGAAGGCATTGCTTTGTGGTCTGCGGTTGAGAATCTCAACGGCATCCTGCACTCTGATGGTGTTGTTCTGATGGTGTTGTAGTTTACAGCAGTTCTCTTCAAGATTGGTGTGCTAGAATTTCACATTAACACGGCTTGATTCAGCAGTGCTATGCTCACATGCTGGGTCCCTAAAACTCATATTCTTCCATGTAAGCAAATTTTCTTTTTTTTTAAGGTTTATTTATTTATGCATACAGGAGTTGGGGTACAAGCCAGAGGTGCAGGTGGCGAGAGGATTCACAGAGAGAGTGGGGAGCAGAACAGGCAGATCCACTGAAATACACTGCTGAGGGGAGCAGCAGGGAGACAGGAGAGGTCTGCAGCGCCCTGTGGGTCACCTCCCTGGCTGAGGATCGAACTTGTGCAGCAGTAGCTGCAGATTGCCTCATAGTGTTGATGCATAACCCCTTGAGCTACCAGGAAGGCCCCTCTTTTTTGTTTTTACATAATTTTGTTTTGATTTTATCTATTCTTCTAAAAATTCCTTTTAATTACAAAATGGAGTCCTCTGGATTACTTCCTGAAATTTAGTATCTCTTGTCTATATTTTTATATCTTTATGCAAATGTTTCATTTTAACTGTTTTCTATTCTTTCATGGGGACAATATCATACTTATTTCTCTAAATATCTTAATTTTTTGGAAACTTTCTTTTGAAACATTCTCTGCACTGGTGCTTTTCCCCCCAAGTCACATTTTTACTGTTTGTTTTGCTTTCTACCTTTCATTTTAGAGGCTTTATTTACCAAAATGACTAATACTCCTTGGCTAGCTTTTCACATACAGGAAAAAGATCTCAAAAGTTGGCCTGGCAAGTGGACAGCTTTTAAAGCCTCAACTCATTTTAGCGTGATTTTTGAATATAGTAGAACTATAAGTTTGTGTTCAGTGTCTTCAATAACTACATATATCTTGTTTATAAATCCAGTTCTGGTGTTGCGCATTTTTCCTTCCTTTTCTTTTGTATAACCAACACAGTGGTAAACATTCCTGCATATATATCTTAAATACTTGCCTAGTTATTTCTTTAAGGTAAATTCTGAAAAATGGAAATTTAAAAAGTAAATTTTAACCTTTTCTATATATTGCCAGCTTATGATTAGCACTGTTATTAATTTATTATTCTATCCAAAGTGGTATGAGAGTCTTTTTTTTTCATATCCATACATTTGATTTTGTTGTATATATAAAATACTGTATATTTTAAGGCAACAATATTTTAGAAATAATTCAGGAAAATGTATCTCAATTCCTATCTGCCATTAAACTATTCTCAAAAGACACAAATGCTAGTAAAAGAATATTTGGGTTATCCACAAGAAAAAGAGAAAAGGTTAGGTTTGACATTTTAAAAAGTTGTGAACATTCAGAAATTAATCAATGATATTCTGGAAAACAAAATACTTACATCATGCAAGCTATCAAGAAGTTTTGTGAGTTGGTAGAACCGCTGTGAACTGGAGACCACCCCCTTTTGTCTCAAACCAATTGCTTTGATAAGTTCTCTAATGTAACTTGATCTCATCTCTTCAAACTGGCTTTGACTTCTCAGTCCTTCCAAAGGAACTGTAAAAAGACAATTATAAATGGGAATGGTGGTTTTAAAAAAATGACATGAGCAGTTTATAATTTGAATCTCTGAGCAGTATAAAGAATTCTTTTGCTATGCAGCTCTAGATACAAACATCTGAACTAGGAAAGAGAGCTATTGATCACGGTAGGACATACAAACTTCTGGTTTTCTGGAGGAATATAATTAAAACAATTAGATGAATTAAGAACATTTCAGCTTACCTATTTTAGAGCTGTGTCAACAGATGACGCATTTACCTGAATACTTGCTCAGCAACATGCCCAACATCTTTCTAAATCCCATCTCCAAAACTTGGTTTGATTTAGTTTATACCTGCATGTATGTTAGGCCTTGTCCTTTTTCTTTTCTTTTTAGCAAATATCTGTGTCTTTCTGTAAAGTTTTTTCTTCACATAAATTGCAAGTGTTTGTCATTTAGGTTATTTATGTCAAATTTATCTTTATTGTTGTAATTTAACATTCCTTCAACAGATTTTCTTTTTTCTGATGATAGAGGACAAAACCATTGGTGCTTGGATGGTTCTCTGCTATCTAGCCACTGGCTGCTTCTCTGTGTGCTTCTTTATTTAATTTCTATTTTAAATTCTCACAGTTTTTGGTTGATTGCCTTTTATACAACCACATTATGTTCAAGTAATACTTTCATTTCCCTGTTTCCACTAGCTGTAACTTTGATTTCTGCTTCATCACTATTCATCGATTATTCAGGACTCTCAGAACAACATTCAGTAATAATAGTGAAGACAAATATCCCCACTGATTTTAATGGGAATGCTGTTAACGGGTAAGGTAGCTATTTAGCTCTGAAAATTTAGATTCATAAATACGGAAATCAGGCACAACTTCCTAGTCTTCCTATGAAGTTGTCTTCCTAGTCTTTTCTTTATACTGTCGGTAACTGAGCTCCCCAACGCCTAGCAGGGCCCTCCCATTTTAGTGTGTTTAGCTCCCCAGAATAGAGCCTTTCTTCTTGAGGGGCACCCCTCACCCTCCACCATTTAAGATGCACACCCCTAAAAAAGAATTCCCTGCCAAGATGCTCTTGATGGAGACCCTTGGCCCATCATCCCCCGGAGGCCACAGCTCTCTCCTTCCAAGCTGTCTGAGTGAAAGAGGGAGCAGTTCAGACATCCAGAGCTGAGCCTCCCCATGCAAGAGAAAGGCACAGAAAAGGGGAAGAGGTAAAAGCAGTTTTGGGGTTTTTCCCACTCGGATCCCTGGAGTGCAGGGGCATATGAGCTCTTGGTCTACAAGAAAGACAGGGAAGGAGGCCACCTGTCTGTGCAGTGAGCCTGGTGATGCGCCACCTGTGCCATTTCCTTCTCCCTCTGGGTCAGCAGCTCGTGGGCACTTCCCAGCCTCTCCTGTGGCTAAAGTAGCTGCAGGTGGGTGGAAACCACACAGGGCATCCCAGGTGGCGCCTCCAAACCTTTGCCACTCCAGCCTATCTTCGATCAGATCGACCCAGGACTGCAAGCGCAGCCAGAGGGTGGAGCTCCCGGCTGGAGGGAGCCTGTGTTCTCTCGCCAGGCCGCTGGCCCGTGACTGTGCGTGACAGGGGACAGGCAATCCGTTACTGAGTTATGCTGCAGCTCTCTGCAGGCACTCGTGACAACCTTGAGCCTGCCCTGACAGAGGGAATAGCCCTGAACCAATCTCTGGATTCCACACAGTAAATCCTCTGTGGGATGAGGGTGGAGGGAAGTATAGTGTGTGTTGCCACAATATTAATTAGTGTATAATTGCTCCTTGGGTGAATCTGAAAAACTCATTTCATCATCTGTTACCTAAAAAAAAAAGAAACAAATCAGCTGAATCGATGGGCTATTTTACCATTTGTGACAATTACTACCTGAGACCTAGAAGCAAGTTTCTGAGTTTATGTCAGTGTTCCAGGCATTTCTCCATTGTAGCTACACTAAGACTCATGCCTGCTATAAACATTGACCACATTGCTGGGGCTTTCCAAGGAGCGGATGGTTAGGAAATCGCCCGACGTGACGCGCCCACTCACTTGTGTTGAGAAGCAGCAGCACCTTCATGCACAGGTACTCCTCCTGGCTGACCTGCAGCTTCACGAACTCCTGGGGGATCTGCCACATGGTCAGGCACAGCGAGTAGAAGGACAACTCCTTCATCCGCTGTCTTGCGCCCCACACGCGCACCAAAGAGAAAGCAGCCAAGAGAAAGAGGCACACACAGCGTGTCAGTCACTTTAGGCACTTTGTTAGAGAACGCAAGATTTAGCACTTCTTATCGGGAATAACTTTTTTACCAGCAGACTCAGTATTTGGAATTTTAAATCTCTTCTAAATGCACTTGCAATACTGAATTTTTGAGGTCATGGAATTTTAAAGCAAGATAATCATAGGAAATACATTTGACCAAGATTCAGGTTGTTCTCACCATTATGTTGTAAAAGCCTAAGCTGAGGAAAGAGAGCAAAGTGAAGCTGAAGAATGCACAGGAAACACTTTTTTTACTGATTTTTTTTTTCCTGTAAAAAGGTTATCTAAAAATGTGTTTGCAGTTCAGTGAGGGACCACATTCGGTGTGCAAAACTGCACAGGTGGGAAAATCACACTGTGAACTCTTCTAGGGGTAATGAATGGTGACATGGAAAAGGGATGACCCCAACCATTAAGTAATACAAGATGGATCCCCAGTTATGAACTGGTTAGGGACATTTATTTATGGCCGTCCCTCAGCTACGTGCTACTTTGTGACATCTGCATTTGTCAAATGAAGCTAAAGGGAAAGTGAAAAGAAAACTAAATTTTGACCCAGATGATCAAAGATTAATTCTGACTCTCACTCAGATTCTTTGCATTTGTCACTCAGATGCAATTCTGAGTCTGTTTCCTGAGCTGTGCAATGAAGGCTGCTGATTCCTTACAAATTTCAAGGGATCACAGGGTAAAATACAATAAAATGCATGGAAATTAAATTAAATCATAAAGACTTCTACAAGTTTGAGTTATTATGTTACATAACTCTGTGCTAGTAGCCTTCACCATTAAGATAGTATAAATAATTCCAGGAAAAAATTCCTACAGCTTAAGAGTCTATGTAGAAAATGAGTTGTAGTCATTGAAATGGAATCAAGCAAATTGAAATATTTATCTTTCAATTTTTAAAATAAATTACCAGTCTGCTTTTTCCTTTAGGAAAAGAGATATTTTACTTTTTGAAGGCAACTCAGTACTTTTAGGTAAAAATATTTCTAATTTACCTTATTATCTTCCTACCAAAGAATTCTATTTTATTTCTTTTAATTTTAACTTGACCAAGTAAACATTTAATTTTGTCTTGAAGAATATTGCTTGATACATTTTTGTAATTCAGAACCTTGAACTTGAGACTACAAGATACATTGAAACAAAAGGGGAACCTATGAGCAGCAGATCCCCTAGTGCAATGATTTGATTTAATTTCTACTATAGCACAGGCTGTATCTTGGGGAGATTCTGAGACATCCTTCAGGGAAATTCTATTATTTAGGACAGTAGATGATCATCTATTGAAATAATTATCAAGAGTGTACTCTTTTGAAACTCATAAGAACAACAAAAGTCAAACTACTACTTACTCATTTAGTATCAGATCAGGTGCAAAATAGAGCATCTGCCCACTGACATGCTTATAGGATCTCCAGCCTAGTCCAAACACCATCAGGCTCATCCACGAGTACTGGATGAGGGTTATCTGGTCATCAATGTGTAAGTTTCGGAAACCTACAAGACAAATGAAGATAAAATGAATGTGAAAATCACTCATGTCAAAATGTTGACAATAAGTAGACATTGGAAAAGAGTTAATGTTTTCAACCTTAATATATATATTTTACACTAAAAGGCAGGAGATGTTAATAAACAATAGGGCTTGGGATATGTAAAAGGAGCCACAACTTTGAAAGTCATTGAAATCAGTCAACGTGATTTAGCATTTCTGGGAACTTAGCGGCCGAAGCAGTGTTGATCACTCATCCGGGCAGTGACCATAATTGAGAACCATTCCTGCGCCAGGCGCTGTGCTGAAATGCACAACTCAAAAATGAGTAAGGCAGAGCCCTTGCTTGTAAAAAAAAAAAAAAAAAAAAGCAGAAGGAAGAGCACCCAAGCACTGGGGCAGAGAAGGTTGAGACAGAACACCCCAGAAACTGGGAGAGCAGGAAAAATGCTCTGAAATAAAGAGATAATGCCTGAGTGAAATAGAATCAATTTGTGGAGGAATCGCCGTTCTTTGGGATTTACACATACACTGGGTTTTAAATGTTTTTAAACACTGCTTTCAAATGCTCTCACTTTTCCTTAACATGCTCAAATTGTGCCTTGGGTGGATTTCATCATTATCTGGTCACTTGCATGTGAACCTTAATCCAGTCCTGTTTTAAACTTCCATGTGGCTTAGGAGGTTTACAGTGTGTGCACGTGTGGTGTGTGTTTGTGTGTGTGCATGTGTGTGTTTTCATGAATGGGAATGAATGCGCTGGTCTTTGGCAATAGCCTCCTTCTTCCAGGTTCTGTCTCAGGCATTGCTGGCATTGCTGGCATTGCTGGCAGAGGGATAATGACAAGGAAAAGCAAATGCATCTTGTCTGTGCCACTTTCTCGTTCTGTTTGCCTGTGTGGGAAGCATCGCCAGCTCAGGACTGAAGAAGTTAAAGGAGGGACAGGCAAGGAGGGAAGTTTGTGCCACCATGGGTGGTCCTGGGGTCTAGTAAGTAGGGAATGACACAGCCTTCTTCGCGTCATCACCTATCTCGGGGTGTCTGGTGCAGGATGAATCTAAAGGGGGTGGATCTGCATTTATGGAAGTTGAGAGCGAATGTCAAAGGCTGGAGATGCATGGAAAGGCTGTGGTAAGTCAATGGGGAGCAGCAGACAGGATGGGGAGCAACAAAAAAATACTTAGAGTGAAATCAAAGAATTTTGGCAAATGACTGTGCATGTGGCAGGAAGGAGTCAAGTGAACTTTTCAGGACTGTTGCTTGAGGGGTGGGGAATGACAATAGCACAGATGACATCGAATAAGCAGGAGAAACAGGTTAAAAGAAAACAGTAAGCTTTGTTTCTTTGTTTTTTTTTAAGATTATTTATTCATGCATACAAGAACCGGGGTACAGGCCAGATGTGCGGGAGGGTGAGAGGATTCACCAGAGACAGAGTGGGGAGCAGAACAGGCAGACTGACTGAAATCCACTGCTGAGGGGAGCAGGGGGTGAGTCAGGAGAGGTCTGCTGTGCCATGTGTGTTGCTCCCTGCAGAGGCTGCAGATTGCTTCATAGTGTGGTGCTCAACCCCTTGTACCACCAGGGAGGCCCAAAACAGTAAGCTTTGGATATATCTGAGGAGCCTCTGGGATACCCAGAGAGCAGGTGGGCAGACAAATTAGAAATACGAAAAGCAACCTGGGTAGAAATACACATTTGGAAATGATCTGTCCCTGAGAGTCACTGAAACAATGAGCTTGGATGGAATCTTCTATTAAAGGTACAGAGAGAAGTGAGGATTATGGCGGGAACCCCAGCCACTTTGCACAGAGCCATTTTAACCACATCTACTGGCCAAGTCCACATACAAATGTCCACTTTTCAAAAGTAAAACCAAAACGAAACTTAATTCCTCAGATCTGAAGAACATAAGAAGTGTAGCTGCAGGGACTGAAAATAACGTTTGCCGTAGTCATAAGAAGGATGTCACAGCAGACACTGGCCTTTTTTGAGGGGTTCACTCTTCAGTGTCTAACTGCCCCCCACTCCAACCCCAGCCCTTTTATCTTTTGCTATGTTGACAGTCTCCCAGGTTGTGGGGGGACATGTACCCCACCTCCCACCATGGAAACTGGGTAAGTCTTCTGCTCCCCTGGGCTTGGGTCCTGGATTTGGTCTGTGGAACACACACTACCTGGACTTGGACTAACTGAGGTTGAAAAGGAAAGAAAAAGCTATGATTAGGCTCCATTTTTATGGTGCCTGGGGAGAGGGAGGCTGGCTAGGGAGATTCTGTAATGGTTCTTCACTGACCTGCACAAATGCCTGGCTGCTTCTTTAAGCTAGTGCTCTAGTTTCTATTCCATGACGCCCTGGTGTCATTCCAAAAAAATATTATTTTTCTTTTCATTGAGTTTTTGATAGCCAATGGGTTCTATTTATTTTTTTTAGAAAATTTATCACATTTCTTTTCATTGCCCACATCCTGGTTTATGCAGTCAGTGCAGAACGATTGTCCTGTACAAATAGCCGAGAAAGTTCTGGCATGCAACTTTCATATTTTTTTCTGTCGCTCCATAGAAGCATATGCATCTCTAAGTTCAGGTAGATATCACCAACATTTATAGTAGAAAGTGTATTATTTCCATTTAACAGAAAGGAGTACAGTTCAGAAAACAGCTTTATTTATTCCATCTTCCAGAGGGCTTATCTCTATAAATGTACAGTGTTAAATGGACTTGAACACGCCTGGTACAGAGAAGCCGTTTTTTTTTTCTCCCATTAACTGTAATATCATTCATTACTTTACACTGAAACAAAGGCAGGAACACCGAGAGCAGATCCCCATCCGTGATAAAGATCAGGTAAATGCAGTACATTTGAGATGATGATCAAATGAAAACCTTCACAGAGAGGTGATAGACGCCCCCTAATTGTGTTTAATAAGCAGTAAAGAAAAATGCCCTTTCCTTTTAAGCGAATTAACCTGATAATTTCTGACAAAAAGTCCCATTACAAAATGTCCCAAGCTTAAAGCTTAAAACAAATTTTAAAAAAGTGGATTGTAACAGCCTGTGTGACCTTCTGGGTCTCCTATCTGACTTCCTGAGTTCTGGTGAAATACCTACGTTGTACGCCTGCAAAAAGTCTGCTGCATTGAAACAATTCATCCAGAATGTTAAATACCTCAGCCCTTTTCTCACACCAAGTAAGAGCTTCAAGGAACACCAAGAAACTTCAGCACAAAAAGAATAACCAATGTTGGATGACTTATGACTGAGAACTTGGTTAATCACCTCCTATCAACACCATCATTCACATTCTCTAAATGTTCTTTAGCATGTCCTTGGAATGAAGCATTGTGCCTGTTTTGGGGTAGCAGGAGAAAATTTCCCACCCCATCTGGGTTCTTCTGTGCTTGGATGCACAAACAAATTCACATCAGACAGATTAGGAGGAGAAAGGACCACAATTTAGTAATATGTGTGTGGAGAATTCACGCTGCTGTAAATTCTGGAGAGAATAGAGCAGACGGGGGTATTTGTCCAGCATTTAGTGAACTGGGACATCAAGGAGAGAGACGGGGAGACTTCACAGGACAGGGAGGGGCAGCTTTGCCTTCACTCTGAGAGTAAAATGAGATTCTCAGAGAGAGAGAACATGTTCTCTGGGCAACCTACGCCTGGGGTTGACCAGGAGACCCGACCCCCACCCCGCTCCCAATCTACATTTTCTAAGTCACGTTAAGGGGAGACATGACTCCCCTTAAGGAAACAGGCTGGGGACTCGGGCAAGGGCTTGACCGTTGTGGGTGGACACAATTGCACAGTCAGGGGCTTGATGGAGATCCAGGACAAAGTGGCGGAACCCACAGTAAGTCTGGGCAGCAGCCGAGCAAGCGAACAGAGTGAAGCATCTGTTTAATAAGCAGAGTTGCCAGAATTTGATGACTAACTGGGCGGGAGGGAAGGAGAAAAGTGAGTGAGGTTCTAAGGCTTCCCCGGTGGCGCAGCGGGTTGAGTGCAGGGCTGCGAAGCTGTCCACAGCCTCTGCAGCGCGGGTTCAATTCCCGGCTGGCCAGGGAGATACCCACATGGTCACAGCAGACCTCTCCTGTCTCGCCCGCTGCTCCCCTCAGCAGTGGATTTTGGTCCTTCCACCTGCACTGCTCCCTGCTCTGCTTCTGGTGAATCCTCTAACCCTCTGCACCTCTGACTGTACCCCAATTCTTGAATAAATAAATAAATCTTTTTAAAAAAGTGAGCGAGGTTCTGTCTGAGGCAGTGTTTTAAGACAGAAATGAGAGCTAGTGTCTGGAGTAGGTGGTTGTGATGACTTGAAGGTCATCCAGGTGGGAGTGTGCAACGCGCAGCTGAAGTGCACATCCCATGTACCACACAGGACCGGGTGGACACAGTGTGTTCAGGAGTCATCAGGAAACCAGGCTCACAGCGACCTTGCCCGGCTGTGCAGCATGAGAAGCTACTGCAGTAAGAGACCATGCCCAGGAGAGGCAAAGCTTATAGCGTGAGTGGATGAACAAACCCACCAAAGAGGCGGGAAACATGCCCCTTTTTTAAATATTTATTTATACATACAAGAGCTGGGGTACAGGCCAGAGATGGGGGGAGGGTAAGAGGACTCATCAGAGACAGAGTGGGGAGCAGAACAGGCAGATCCACTGAAAAGCACTGCTGAGGGGAGCAGCGGGGAGACAGGAGAGGTCTGCTGTGCCATGTGGGTAGCTCCCTGGCTGGGGATTGAACTCATGCTGCAGAGGCTGCAGATAGCTTCATGGTGCTGCGTCTAAACCCTTTGTGCCACCAGCCAGGCCCTGAGAGAACATTTCTAACTGGAAGGGCCGTGATGGATGCCAGAGAGGTTTGACAGGAAGCACTTTTTCAATAGCCCCAGAAATACGTGAAATGTGGGAAGGCTGGAAATAGTCATTTGATCTGACAAATAGGACAATTTGTTCACATTGGCAACGGTAATGTCCAGGGAATAGATGCTAAAAAATTTTCATTTAAAAAAGTCTTCCTAAAAGTATTCACCAGATCTCACTTATTCCCAGTAGGCTGATCTAATTCTTTCCCATTATTTTTTTTTTTTTTTGAGGGGAAGTAATTTGATTTTTTCATTTGATTTGGGGCAAAATTCTTTTGTCACATTTACAATGGCTGTCACTGACTTAAAAGATTCTTCGTCCGGCTTCAAAACCAGAAAATGAGGCAAAGTTCTGGTTTTTAGATGCTGCTGGCCAGTGCACTGACTAGTGAGGACCAACAAGTAAGGTAGGGATTAAAAATGTAGTGTTTAAAAATATCAAAGCATTGGCCCTAGTAGATATTTCATCAAATAAGTAGAAGAATAAAGACAAAATATACAAAAAGGAAGTATTTTCCCCAAACCTGTCACTCACTTCAGTTCTGCTACAACACATTGATCTACTGACTGAAAAATATTAAGAGTGAAACTGAATTTGGAATGAGAATTTCTTGATTTCTCAAGCCTTCCCTGACTGTCAAGAACCTCCTTGATCAGCCCATAACTTATCCCTCTAAATTTACTTCCTACAACTTGCCTCCAAAGAAATTTATTGTCAGTATTTTTGTGATGAAGCCCCCAGGGGGCCAGTTCTTATTGCAGCAATGTTTGAGAAATCCTTCATATAAATGCATTTTCTCAATCAGCCACTTCTAAAGGGTTTTAATTACTATGCTGTAGGGGGGCATATAATAGTAATAACTACAATATTTATGATAATTTAATATTCGTATATCATCAAATAAAATAGAATTTTGCATATTTGTATTATTTAATTAATTTTATAAGTTACTAAATAAATATAATATTATTTTGTATTTTGCAAAGGTCCTGGCACCATTGCAAAGAACCATTCCTAGGTTGGCCCACTTCATCAATCACAAACATCCCTCATACTTTCCATATTTTACATCATGCATCACCCTATTCCTTCTACCTGGAACGCCTTTTCTTTTTAATCCTGATTTGTCAAAGTCTCACCTCCTTCAAGACGCAGTTTAACTGACACCTTGGCGCTGAAGTCCCTTCTAGGCCCTTAAATCAAAAACCATATTTTTCCTTCATTTTCTTTTGAACTGCCCCTATGTCACTTGCACATGTCCTATAGCTGTTTAGGTCCCTTGCCTTTCCCACTGGATCAGACATCCCTAAACCGAGAAATGAGTCCTGTTTCTTTTAAAATTTTGCAAATATTATGTTGATTCAGACTCCAAATAAGACAATCTTACCCACTGTCATTATGGCTAAAAGTCGATTCATTCTGCATGCAGAGGTGACAGTCAGAGGTCTAGAGCTCACAAAAGTCCCTTCCTAGTCTCCAGGAAATGAAAACAAAGGAATCCCTGCAATATTCTGAGGCCCATAAGATAAGCTGCAATTAGGTAATGTCCAAGACAATAGAAGGACACAAAGAAGAAATTAGAAGCGAGACCTGGGACAAGGACAAGAATTCTACCAGGGGCCAAGACAATGGCCTAGGGCACTGCAGCCAGCAGACGCCTTTGTTACGCTGTCACTCTGCCTGGACCTGAATCCCACTTCCCCACACGCTTGCCTGCTGTGAAAGAATGACCTGACCAGCCAATGTGTTTCCTCAGTAGTAGCTTTTTTTTTGGGGGGGGGGGTTGTCTGGTACTGTAAATAAGTCAACGACATCCATCACACTATTAGTAAGCCTCATTTAACAAAAGTCCATTGTCACAGACCAATAATAAGTGAGTGAATGGATAAAATAATTCGATGGCCAGATGCTGGGATGCAAGGCTGCACCCTGAGCCCAGCCTGCTGGCTCCGCTGTCGCCGCCAGCATCTATGCCTCAGGACTTGCACACAGCAGGTGTGCAATACACACACTGAGTGAATTCAGTGACACCTGCACTCTGGGTTCAAGTCAGCTGAAAGGCTCTGAGCAGTGAATGGCCTTGGGTGACCTTGCCACCGGCCCCTGGGTCCCTAGCAGAGGTAAATACCGTCTCTCTGGTTCGGTGACCCTTTTCATCATTTATTAGCGTTCCTTGCAGAACAGGCCCACGGACACACAATGCTTTTCTAAAGTTAACACCTCCCTTAATTTGAAAGGGCAGATAGGAAATCCTTGAAGCCATCCATTCTTACTTACTTACAAGAGAGTTACATTTTGCAATATTAAAAAAGTTGCCACTGAATTCAATTTAAAAATTTCCTTTCACTCCTATTGAGAGATGTGGGTGTCACAAATCTTGACAGATAACCATTTTTTCAACTTACAAAGCTCATTTAGCTTTCATCCAAATGAATAAATTACCTTTTTAACTATATTGGTAATTGTAAACTTTGTCAACAGATAGAATCTTTCTAAACAAGCAAAGGATTCCAAAATGAAAACCAAAGAAATACGAACTACAGCAAAAGAATCAAAGAAGTTAGCTTTGTCAAGTAATTGAAAAACAGAAAAGTAAAACATGTGTTTAAACATTCCAATTTTTAAACAGAAAAAGTTCATCAATGTTATTGCAACAGCTTCATTAACAAAGCGTTGATAATCACTTTACAGTAAGTTTTAAACATTCAGAACTTTTCTAATGGAAAAAATATTACCTGTCCAAGGTCTTTCAGCAAGAATGAAGCTATTAAGAACCTAGACATTTTGCTTTTTATATAAAAGTACTTCATCTCCATTAGAAGCGTGAATTTTATTCACTTTCCTCAACATGCACTTTTTGAAAGATTCAACAAGCAGGAATCTACTTTCCTTCTCTTTCACGAAGCCTTGAATTTTCAGTGATAATTTGTCTATTGTACTTCAAACCTTTCAAACAGAATAATAACCAAGAAATACACTAAGGCAAATTGGAAAAGAAATTCTTTTTTAAAAAATGCTATTGAATTTCGTTGGAGATTAAAATGGCACACTATGTTTAATTCTTGACCAGATATTGGAAGAAATATTGGTATAAAGGACTAGACGGATATCATGGGTGTGAAGAGGATGTAATTCATTATGTTCTGTTTCTAATTACGGGAGTAGCACCTCCCCGGCAGCAGCCACCCACGTGTTCTCCTGGCGCGGCCATCACAGCCTTAGCCAAGAGCTGCATCCTTGCTCCCTGTCAGCCTCTTGCCAAGAGCTGCATCCTTGCCCTATCAGCCTCTTTGCCCCTGGGGGCTGTGCTGAGGGAGCAAAAATACCTTATTGATGAAGTGACTAATATCCTTTCACAACAATATAATTGAAATTCTCATTGTTACCCCTTTGGGTATCAGTGAGAAAAAATAGTAACTGGAGGTTCATTTTTCTATGTACAAATTATTATTTTTTTATGTAAGTATGTACGTTTGTACATACTCTGAATTTTGATTTATTTTTATTTTTTCTTTTTTAAGATTTATTTATTTATGCATACAAGAACTGGGGGACAGGGCCTCCCCTGGTGGCGCAGCGGTTAAGTGCTGGGCTGCGAAGCTGCCTGCAGCCTCTGCAGCGCTGGTTCGATCCCCGGCCACTGGGCAAGGGTCCCGCATGGTGCGCAGACCTCTCCTGCCGCCCGCTGCTCCCCTCAGCAGTGTACTTCGGTCCTTCTGCCTGTTCTGTTCCCCGCTCTGTCTCTGGTGAATTCTCTCGCCCTCCAGCAGTTCTGACTGTACCCAGTGCTTGTGTAAATAAATAAATAAATCTTAAAAAAAAAAAAAAAAAGAACTGGCGGACAGACCAGAGGTGCGGGGGTGAGAGGATTCACTAGAGACAGAGTGGGGAGCAGCAGAACAGGCAGATCTACTGAGTTCCCTGGCTGAGGGGAGCAGCAGGGAGACAGGAGAGGTCTGCTGCACCATGTGGGTAGCTCCCTGGCTGGCGATCAAACTTGTTCTGCTGCAGAGACTGCGGATAGCTTCATAGTGCTGCTTTTAACCCCTTGAGACACCAGGGAGGCCCCTGAATTTTGAATTATTTTGACTAGATACTTTCATTTTTATTTTCAACGCATTGAAATTGGCTAAAATAGGATTTGGAATGAACCCGACACTTTTCAGAATGGCTACAGTCTTTCTCTGAACTGTGGTTCTCTGAACCAGAACCGCTGTGGACACTCACTCTGATCCTATTCCTTAGCAGTTTTGTGAGTGTCATTCTCGATCCAGCAACAAGACTCATCGTGTTACCTGCCTTTTCTGTATGTCCACAGCACACACTAGGTCCTAGGCAAGTAGCGGAGAATAGAAGGTCCAGGATCAACATTTTGAACTGCAGAAGCGCATACCACAGCCAGCTCTTTACACGCCATCTTGTATCCAGCCATCTACCAATACAACCCACATAGGACGGCCTCAGGCCACGCGATTCTGCACACTCTGCTTACCTGGGAGCGATTTGGACCACTTGACCACTGAGAGGAGCTGCCTCTCGCCCAGCTGGTTGAGGCTGGTGAGCACAGAGCTGGACGTATCGGGCTTGGTGTTGTCGTGACCAGCATATACCACGTCGGGCTCGATGCTCATCAGCAGGTTGATCAGTGGCGGAACCAGCTGTATGTCTTGGGTTGGAGAAAAGGTGATCCTCTGGCCCAAGGCTTGGCCCTCACTCGGGAGGCCCACCGGCTGGGGCAGGGCGACAGCGTCCAGGGCTCGCATCACTCTGACTTTATTAAACTTTTTAAACTTCCGACCTACAGTGAGGGATAAAAAGACAGAAGTTCAGATCAATGCACATTAACTGAATCTTTGAGGGAAGTTCAGGTCACTCTTTGAGGGGAGTGTTATTTTTGTTAAGTTTTCGAATCATGGCATCATAGGTTTTTGCTTCAATCTAATGAGATGAAATGGAATAAATGAATATCGTAGGTTCCAGACTCGGCTCAAAGAACCACCAACACAGCACTCTCTGGGATGCTGCATCCAGCGGGGGAGGCTATGGGGCTTTGTAGCAACTTGTATGAGAAGACAGATGGGTTTGGTCGGGTCTAGGTTCAGGGTTGCTCAGTGCTCTCTCAGGCCTGCTTTCCAGAAGCTAGTGCTGCAGTCCACATTCACGGAAACAAGATGTTGGGTCTTCTTTCTTTTTTTTTTTAATATTTTCATTTTTTATTAAAGATTTATTTATTTATGCATACAAGAACTGGGGTGCAGGCCAGAGGTATGGGAGATGAGAGGATTCACCAGAGACAGTGGGGAACAGAACAGGTGGATCGACTGAAATCCACTGCTGAGGGGAGCTGCAGGGAGACAGGAGAGGTCTGCTGCACCCTGTGGGTAGGTCCCTGGCTGGGGATCAAACTCAGTCCATGGCTGAGACTGAACCCCTAGGCCACCAGGGAGGCCCACTTCTTCTTTAATTCTTTCTTTCACTCATTCATAAAACATTTATTGAGGGTTTTTATGTGCCAGGTGCAGTTTAAGTTTCTGAAACTAAAGCAGCACATGACCAAGGAAGGTGCCTGCCTTCATGGAGCTTGTATTATGGGGGCAAAGTAGAAAAGCAGAATAACACTTATACTTTAACAAAGAGGATGAAATGAGGAAAAGAAAATGAAAGGAAACATGGAGCCAGCTCAGTAAATCTGGGAGAAGGGGCAGTAAAGAGGAAGGCTCACAAGCAGAGAACACAAACTGTGTGAGAAGAGATGAAAGCTGATGCACGGATCATCCCAACGCATGTCAATGGGTGGACTTCACGTGCCCAAGTCAAAGAAAGTCAGGTTGGGTCAGAAAACACAATTCTATTTTCGTTTACAAGGAACCCAACAGAAACAGGAAAATAAATTGAAAAGTGAAAGCTGAGAAGAGAGCAAAGAGGCTAACACACGTGCAAAGTGGGAACGGCCTTGTCAGTGACAGATAGAACAGAAGTCCAGAGACATTGTAAGAGACAATGAGGGGATGTGAAGATGGATAAAAGGTAACTGCTTCGAAGATACTAAACACTCACCCTTTCACAGCAAACAACATAGCAGCCAAATCTTAGAAAAGCCCTAAAAATGGACACAGTGAGTGTGCATATATTTCTTTCAGAGTTTATGGATCAAGTGGACAATAAACGCAGATGGAGAGAACTTAAAAATGAAAGTAAAAAAAGAAAGCCTTAATAAGTTTCCCAACAAAAATTTAATATAGTCTTTGATGATGAGACATTTTATTAAAAATCAAAATTAACTTGGAAATCAGCATTGTCCTAATTAAGTCCTTGACCAAAGAGGAAATGAATGTAAAAATTATGAATGTAAAAATTATGAGTTGTCTAGACATTGACAAAAAAACAACAAATCTAAATCTCTGAGATAAAGCTACCTGCAAAAGTATTTTCTAGCGTATATATGCATATCTTATAATTTTGTTGTGGGTAAAGATAAAACAAATGAGCTAAGCATCCATTAAGACATTAGTACAACAGGGCTTCCCCGGTGGCGCAGCGGTTGAGCGCTGGGCTGCGAAGCTGCCTGCAGCCTGTGCAGCGCCGGTTCGATTCCTGGACACCGGCAAGGGTCCCACATGGCGCGCAGACCTCTCCTGCCGCCCGCTGCTCCCCTCAGCAGTGTATCATTGGCCTGCCTGTACTATTCCCCAATCTGGCTCTGGTGAATTCTCTCACCCTCCCCCGCTTCTGACTGTACCCAGTGCTTGTATGTATGTATAAATAAATAAATAAATCTTTTAAAAAAAAGATATTAGTACAAGAGAAAAAGTCAAACCATTAAGGTGTAGAGGGAAAATGTATATGGTGTGTAATAAGGAGCTATGACTGTAGATACTAAAATAATTAGAAGATTATGCCAGGAAAGGAAGTGCAACTCTCCTGAACTAAATTTGATAAATTCAGGAAATGGAGATTATTCTAGGAGAGTATAAATTATCAAAATTGTCACTGATAGCTTCATTGCCTAAGCCTTGGCTCCTTTAATGACAACACTCAGGTGGAGGAAAAAGTGGAGTTCCTATGTATATGACAGCTCAAGGTTTAACTTAAAACATCACAGCAGAAATGGAGATTAAACTGTTTTAGGATTACATAGCTAAACATTCTAAATAAGCTGCCAACAAATTAAATTTTGTAGGATTAAAAATAGGACACCTTTACCCGGGGCGGGGGGCAGAGCCTGTTCTGAGAAGGGAGATATCAGCTGGAAAATGTGCCACCCCAGTCCTCACACAGGCCAAAGCACAAAAGTCACACCATTTTTATCAGCAGGCTTATAGGCTGTGAAAGGTGAAATAACGGCTCCCCCCTTGTGCAGATGTCCGGGTTCTACTCTTAAAGACATGTAGATAAGGGCAGGGGTTATAGTCACAGTTGGAATTAAGATTGCTAATCAGCCGGCACTAGGCTATAAAGAGAAGCAGGATCATCCAGGTGGACCGATCACAGGGAGTGCCCGGGAAGAGGCAGGCAGAGAGTCTGCGGGAGGAGGCGTCTCCACGCTGTTCGCTGCAGATACCATGGATGTCAGTCCCATGGAAGCTGGGGGCCTGGTGTAGGGGAAAATGCAAGGCCCAGCTCTTCTCCTGGGAAGGTGTGAGATCCTGCCGACGCCATGATTTTAGCACAGAGATCCATCTCAGACTCCCATCTCCAGAACCATGGGATAATACATTTGTTTTAAGCTATTAAATTTATGATGCTTTGTTGCAGAAGCAATAGGACACAAATGCAAAGGCTTTCTGTTAAAATCCAGAAGGCATTACTTAAAAAGGAAAAACTGCAAAGTAAAATAAAAATAGGAATGTCGCAAAACCATCGACCAAACCCAACAGCAAATACTACATTAATATTGACTACTTTATTTGCAGATAATATGATGATATATCTAGAAAACTTACAGGATATTACTGAAAATCCATCAAGTTATTGAGATAATTTAATCATATAGCTAGAAAGAAGGTAATTATAGAAATCAGTAGCTGATAAAAAGCAATATTCCACACATGAGCGCTATAAAATATTCAAGAATAAATTCAAGATGAGTATCCAATATTAAAACCATACACTCTATCAAAGGACACAAAATAAAAAAATGTGAATTAATGAAAAGGCCTATTTGCCTATGACCGTTAATCCTGCTCAGACGAATGCATATATTTTCCATTTCAGTCAGAATCAAGCATGTTTTGGAAGTAGAAATGGTTTCACTGTTCCTTGAGAATAAACATGTGTAAGAATGGCCAGAACTTTTTTATAAGAGCAAAGGTGATTTTTCTATATGCTAGGCTAGGTGCTAAAAATTGCAACACTATCATAATCCAAACATGATGATGTTATATTAACGTTTGCATGTGAATGAACATATCAAGCCACAGAACAGATACTGGCCTCAGGAACACACGCCAATCCGGGCAGTGTCTCAGGGTGGTAAAAACTCTAGGTGAGAGGGTGCTCACAGGGGTCATATAAAGGCTACAGGGAAATTAGAGCATGTAAGTTTTCAGGGCCCATCACCCTAACAGTCAAATGAGGACCATTTGGTCACACTTCTGTCCTCCAGCGACCTGGCCCTCTAAATTTGAGGGGCAACTCAAATAAGAGTTAGAGAGAAATAATGGAAAGTTGGAAAGACTGATCTTATTTAACCTGCAGAGATGAATATATGTTAACATCTAACCCATTCTATCTTGCTCCTCTGTTTTCTCCCTAGCATTTGCTATTTTCTACCAGACCATAATATTTGACCCTAAATATTATTTAATGTCTCCGTGTTCTACTAAAACATATGCTCCTTGGGGATGGAATAACAATTTGTGTATAATAATACCTGGTAACCTTGTCAAACCAATCAACAATTATACAACAATAGATCTGTTTCCCAGAAGGTCTCCAACAATTAATGGCCTCCTGTCAAACAGCTTCTGCTCCTGAAGAATCGGAAGAAACCTGGAGGGGATCCCCGTCCAATAAAAGACACAGTCTAAGACAGAGGGCCTAGCAGATCTCACAGAAGGATGCTGGGGTTCCTACATACCTGCACGCTTCAGCTGCTGACCCCTTCCCCCACTGACTACAGTGCGTGCCCAGTCATTGTTTCCCTTCCCTCTGTAACAAGACAAATAGCTGAGATCTCAATTCTTCTAGCTCAAATTATAAAGGAATAATCCAGACAGGAGGAAGGCAAGTGGTACCAGTTAACAATTACCAAGTCAAATAGCAGGCCCAGCAAGAATTATATAGACTTAAATGTGTGATAAATAGCAGATACATGGCAAGGAATTTAAGCAGAAATATTTTTAGAAGTAATAAAAAGGCAGCGTAAAGGTAAAAATCAGATGAATAAAAGTTGGAGGAAGAATTAGTGTAGTAAATTGCCTTAATCTGATAAACCGTATTTCAAAGATAAAGCCGCATTTAAGTTTCAGTAAATCTAATGAGAGAAACATAACATCAAATTAAAGAGGAAATAAATTACAAAATAGAATAAGATAAACAAAGTCATTATGAACTTTAAAACCATGTTAGAAGAAATAAAAATATCTGGTAGTGTAAAAAGCCAAATTAGTGACTTGAGCTCAGATGCTGAGATTTTTTAGAAAAATCATCAAATGAAGGGTAAAGGACTATAACCAAAGTGGGTAGAGAAAAGATGACAGGTATGGAAGACAGCATGGAAAAGAGGAAAAACATTAAACAGAACAAAACCTGTGAAGGTAATATTAAGAGAATACTCTGCCGGTATAAAAGACGACT